TAGGTCATAATTGAAAAGGAAAAGGGCAACGCGCTTATTGGCTACCATGGTGACCGAGCGTTGCACCTTTCTATTTTCAATAAATATTGATTACCCATTTAATTGTCTCTGCCTGCAAATCGTCCTCCTAAAACGTAGGCTATATCCTATATGCAAAACGACTGTAGCTCAAGAGAAAGAGCAAGTGTTCGCTTTCATCATCTTGCTGCTTCAAGTTCAGTAGCCATAGGTGCGAGATCAGGTGCGCGTGTGGTCTCAATTAAAATTGTAGGCTATAGCCTATGCATGGGCAGAGAAGCACGGGTCAGTTATCTTTCCAATGAAATTAACTTCTTAAATATGAATAGGCTATAGTTTACTACATTGCCTAGAAATACATACTGATCACCCATATTTGTCCCACTCTTAAAAAGTAGGCTATCAAACGAAGCTCAAGAGAAAGTACAAGTGTCTGCTCTCGCTCCAACTCTGCTCAATTTTAATAAATGATGATGAACTTCACAGGGTGGTGAAAGTGCACGGTGATCTTGATGCTGCTTTCCAATAAATATCGAGGGTCATATTCTGGTGACATGATGATTGATGCTTGACTGCCGTTTGACAAATACAAATATTATCGCTCTTATCCATAATAGCCTCATCATGGAGACTAGCCTACCCGCACAGTATCTGCGAGCTGTTGGCTGAGTGCACGTGCCAAGACGAGAGTATTCATATTTGCTATTTGTGACAAAACTATCCGTAGAGTTGAAAATTCGATTGGAAACACATTGAACTTTAGTTTTTTATTCGGTACATGAAAACGTAAGCAAAACAAGTGTATTTTGTGTGCACTACATCATCACACACAGATGTTTATCCTCAACAAGTCCGTTTGGTGGAAACACCACTGGTTGGAAAATGTGCATATTTTCGTTATGCGGATTCTAGAATATTCCCATAAAAATCTGTCGCTAATTGGATGGAAAGATAGCTACTGATGCACATTTGTCATGCCATTAAATCGTATGCTTCCCTGACAACTTTTTACAGACCGAACCTGCATTCTCATTTGTACTAGTTGGGATTTGAATATTTTTAATAATGATTTGAATAATTCATTCAATAATGATTTTAATAAGTCATTTTAAAACAATTTGCAATGTTGTGCCTTCAGGATGAGATCTTTGACATGGTGAAGCCAAAGGATCCGTAGAAGATCACGTTGCAGGATTTAGTGAACAGCAGCCAAGGAGACACAGTAACCAGCATCCTCATTGATTTCAACGGCTTCTGGACCTATGAAACCCAGGGAAGTACTGGTTGCTAATGACAGCAACACAGCTGATCTTGACGATACATGAATCTTCTGTCAAACTGGGAAGGACTACTAGACCAGCAATAAGAGGATATACAATACATTCGGAAAGAATTCAGACCGCTTGACTTTTTCCACATTTTGTTACGTTACAGCCTTATTCTAAAATGGATTAAATAAACATGTCTCCTCATCAATCTGCACACAATAACCCATAATTACAAAGCGAAAACAGTTTTTTAGACATTTTTGCAAATTTAATAGAAAACAACAACATTCTTTACATAAGTATTCAGACCCTTTGCTATTAGACTCGAAATTGAGCTCAGGTGCATCCTGTTTCCATTGATCATCCTTGATATGTTTCTACAACTTGATTGGAGTCCACCTGTGGTATATTCAATTGATTGGACATGATTTGGAAAGTCACATACCTGTCTATATAAAGTCCCACAGTTGACAGTGCATGTCAGAGCAAAAACCAAGCCATGAGGTCGAAGGAATTGTCCCTAGAGCGCCGAGACAGGATTGTGTCGAGGCACAGATCTGGGGAAGGGGTACCAAAACATTTCTGCAGCATTGAAGCTCCCCAAGAACACAATGGCCTCCATCATTCTTAAATGGAAGAAGTTTAGAATCCCCAAGACCCTTCCTAGAGCTGGTCGCCCGGCCAAACTGAGCAATCGGGGGAGAAGGGCCTTGGTCAGGGAGGTGAACAAGAACCCGATGGTCACTCTGAAAGAGCTCCAGATTTCCTCTGTGGGGATGGGAGAACCTTCCAGAAGGACAACCATCTCTGCAGCACTCCACCAATCAGGCCTTTATGGTAGAGCGGCCAGATGGAAGCCACTCCTCAGTAAAAGGCACATGACAGCCCGCTTGGAGTTTGCCAAAAGGCACCTAAAGACTCTCAGACCATGAGAAACAAGATTCTCTGGTCTGATGAAACCAAGATTGAACTCTTTGGCCTGAATGCCAAGCGTCACGTCTGGAGGAAACCTGGCACCATCCCTACGGTGAAGCATGGTGGTGGCAGCATGCTGTGGGGATGTTTTTCAGCGGCAGGGACTGGGAGACTAGTCAGGTTTGAGGGTAAGATGAACGGAGCAAAATACAGAGAGATCCTTGATGAAAACCTTCTCCAGAGCGCTCAGGACCTCAGACTGAGGCGAAGGTTCACCTTCCAACAGGACAACGACCCTAAGCACACAGCCAAGACAACACAGGAGTGGCTTCGGGACAAGTCTCTGAATGTCCTTGAGTGGCCCAGCCAGAGCCGGACTTGAACCCGATCTAACATCTCTGGAGAGACCTTAAAATAGCTGTGCAGCGATGCTCCCCATCCAACCTGACAGAGCTTGAGAGAATCTACAAAGAAAAATGGGAGAAACTCCCCAAATACAGGTGTGCCAAGCTTGTAGCGTCATACCCAAGACTTGAGGCTGTAATCGCTGCCAAAGGTGCTTCAACAAAGTACTGAGTAAAGGGTCTGAATACTTGTGAAATGTGATATATCAGCTCTTTATTTGTAATACATTTGCAAACGTTTCTAAAAACCTCTTTTTGCTTTGTCATTATGGGGTATTGTGTGTAGATTGATGAGGGAAAACAACTATTTAATCAATTTTAGAATAAGGCTGTAACGTAACAAAACGTGGAAAAAGTCAAGGGGTCTGAATACTTTCCGAATGCACTGTATATGTTACAGTTGAAGATTCTAGACACACACTCTTGTGGACTTGGCAAGACTTCTCAATACAACAAAGTTTTATGTCCATTTAAATGTTTATTAATGTACAGTTAAAATAGAAAAATACTATGTATTTAAGCTTTCAAATTAAACCGGTTTCCATTAATAAAGTAGAAAATGTTTTTTTTCTTCATAATTATGTTGGACTTTTAGATTTTATTTCCTTGTGTGAAGGAGTGTGTATGTAGTATAGTAGGGTGGGAAAATAAATATTTTCTTAACATCAGTCTTAATAAAGTGTCTCTTGGCATTTCAAACTCTCTGGGCAATTTACACACTGTAAAAAGGAGTTATCTTGACAATACTGCGTTCCAAAAGAGAGCAGCAGATTTTAACATTCATTTAACATGTTTGGCTTTACCGTAGGCATCCCTCTCAAGCCCTGTACACTTGGAAGGGACAATAGCAGATAAGGTCAGCTCTAGCAGAGATACAGTGAGCGCCAAAAGTATTGGGACAGCGACACATTTTTTGTTGTTTTGGCTATGTACTCCAGCTCTTTCGATGTAAAATGATGCAATGACTAAGAGGTTAAGGTGCAGACTGTCAGCTTTAATTTGAAGGTATTTTCATCCATATCGGGTGAACCGTTTAGAAATTTCAGCACTTTATGTACATAGTCCCCCCATTTTTGGGGACCAAAAGTATTGGGACAAATTCACTTATGTGTATTAATGTAATCAAAAGTTTATTTGGTCCCATATTCTTAACACACAATGATTACATCAAGCTTGTGACTCTACAAACGTGTTGGATGCATTTGCTGTTTTGTTTGTGTTTTAGATAATTTTGTGCCCAATAGAAATTAATGGTAAATAATGTATTGTGTCATTTTGGAGTCACTTTTATTGTAAATAAGAATATAATAGGTTTCTAAACAGTTAAAGAGGCATAAATATCATACCCCCCAAAAAAATGCTAACCTCCCCTGTTATTGTAATGGTGAGAGGTTAGCATGTCTTGGGGATATGATATTTGTGCGTCTAACTTTAATTCATTCACAATTCATTCAGGACTATCTGTAATCATGGTAGCATCCACATTAATGTAGAAGTGTTTAGAAATATATTACATTCTTATTTATAATAAAAGTGACTCCAAAATGACACAATACATTATTTATAATGAATTGCTATTGGGCACAAAATTATCTGAAACACAACCAAAACAAAAAGCAAATGCATCCAACAAGTTTGTAGAGTCACAAGTTTGATGAAATCACTGTGTGCTAGGAATATCGGACCAAATACATTTGTGAATTTGTCCCAATGCTTTTGGTCCCCTAAAATGGGGGGACTATGTACAAAAAGTCATAGTCATTGTATAATTCCCACGGGGGGCCAGTATGAAAAATGTATGCACTCACTAACTGTAAGTCGCTCTGGATAAGAGCGTCTGCTAAATGACTAAAATGTAAAAATGTAAATCATTTCAAATTCAATGTACTGGAGTACAGAGCCAAAACAACAAAAATGCCCACTGTCCCAATACTTCTGGAGCTCACTGTAATATACGGCTCTGGACAATAGTAATGTCATGTGTTCGCACAGATGCCAATGAGCAACGTGTGAAGTTATTACGTTAAAGGCCTGGGGACAGATCCCGACATCACACTGATGGACTCTGAAAAGCCCTGTGCATAACTTCTCATAGTAACACAATAACATATTTGTGGGCATTCGGAAGTGAAAATAATTGATTGTCATGGTTGACAATTAATATAAATAGTAATTGTCAGCTGAAATACATCTTTACTATTCCTATAACATTGTGCAGCTCTGGAATGGTTTTAGAAAAAGGTAACTTATCTCACCGCTAACTGGCTGAAAATAGCTGCTAACTTATTGTATAACAATGTTATGTTCCTGAAAAAATAAATCAAAGACATTTCTTAAACCCGCAAATAGTTACAATCAGCATCAGATATCTATCATCCGTATGCTCATTCATTGTCACTGACACACAGCACAGCAATGTTCATTGCACACAAAAGTTCATGCATATTGACAACGCAGCAACTAAAAAAATATGTATTTTGTTTAAAAAAATCTGATTTACAGTACTAATAGAACATGATCATTTAAACAAAAATAAGAAAACTACACTAGAAAAAAATGTTGAGAGGCTACATCATTAAATCAGTATGATTTAAAAATAACAATTCTACGCTAGCGCAAAAGAAGGCTGAGGAGGCTACATCGTGAAATGAGAAAAATGGAAACATCCATTTAATTGAACTGTTAGGTGGGGATGGGGGCAGGAAATCTGTTGGTATCAAGTGTGGGATCTTGATCCAACTCGAAGCTGACGTTGACGAAGGAGGCTTTGCCCTCCGGCTGCTCCATGGCTGGCTGCTGGATCTCCTGGTTGTGCTCCTCTTCAAAACGGCGTTCTGCCTCCTCAGACAGCCGGTTCTCCTCCTCCTCCTCATCCTCCTGTCAGTCACAACATGAATGAGAAGCAGGGATATACAAACTACATCATGGAGTAGTAACAAAGTAGTAGTAACAAATTAGAAGTAATGAAGCATTCCAAGTTCTGTAAATAGATGTTTCCCCAAATACAAGACAACAACGTACCTCCTTTTTCGTTCTGTAGTACTCGTCAATAGCATACTGGTACTTGGGTGAGGTAATGCCGAACAATGAGGCCATTCTCTCCCCAAGATAGTCACAAACTGAAAGTAAAAAGCACAAGGCAGAGGCACAGTATTACTAACACACTGAGCATTCAATTTATATAGGCTACATTTTAAATCACTCATCATACGTGTTTATCTTTAGAGTGTAGTATACATAATACCACATTTACCTGAAATAGTGGAGGTTGCCACTCGCCACATGTGAAACCAAAAATATGGACCCCAATTCAACTTGGACTGTAACAAAAACATGACACAATAAGATAACAAAGTTAACGAAATGTGGGAATGTTTAATGGAGTAAAGTCCCGTTTTAATTTACAAGGACAGAGAAACCAACCTGGTCAGCTGAGGTCTTAACAGCGAAAGAAGCTTGCACTTCCTCATCTTCTTCATCTGTGCTGTATTCCTCCATGGTCTCGCCACTGGCAAAGTAAATCGTTCTACGGGGCACCTTCTGCTTCTTCATCCCCATGTCTCCCAGCTCCACACTCTCAAATTCCTTCACCATATTGGAGCTCTGTCAATCATCATCATCATCACAACAACAACAGTCCATTCTCCAGACGTGTTTGGTTACAGCTGGTAGAAACATAATTTTACTATCATCATGTAACTACTAGAAAGAATAGCAGCTACATTAGGGTTGTTGACATTTGTCACACATTGAATGAAAACATTCCAACACAACAGGTTTTTTCAAGCAGTTTCTGTGAGTGATTAATTCGTACCGTAGCTAATGAGAGTGCTAACGTTAGTGGCTGTTACTATGGTAGCTAGCTATGTATGTCGTAGAAATGTATAATTGTGAACAAATTGCCTACAGAATGCACATATTTATTCCTGCTTGAGATAGCTAGCTAGCTGCTGAGGCTAATGTTACAATACAAGGAAGTAGCTAGCTAGTTAAAAGACAACACACACATTCGTTTTTTTGTTGGCTAAACTCATGAGAACAGGTCTAAAATTTTTATCATCACACCTTTTCAGCGTCCATAGCTTGCCCCAAAGAGATGTTGACATTAGAAAAATACAGCGACAGCTCTGGCATCTCACGCTGTTCTTATGCAGCGTTCAAATCAACTCGGAAATCTCCAGCTTCCAACTTCAGTGCGTTCAAGCCAACTGAACTCGGAAAAAAAGGAGCTCCGACTGGGAAAAATATTTTGAACGGTCATCCAACTCGAAGTTCAAACTTTGCGACTCGGGCCTCTTTCTAGAGCTCCGACTTTCCGACCTGAAGATCACAGAAGTCATGATTTGACCTCGTATTATTTCGAGTTCCCAGTTATTTTGAACATACCATTATTAGCTCAGTGATCTCACTTCTCTGCCTCTCTCCTCTGCCGGACCATCACTCGTTACCACAGTCAGAAGGCCCGCCTAGTTGACCAATCAGATTGGGGAATGTGTTGACGCTTTTGCCGGCTCAGAAGGCTCGCCTACCCGACCAATCAGATGAGGCTTCGCGGCGAACGACTCATTTTCGAAATGGCATATCTCGACTTCAAGTTTTAAGGACCAAATAACTAAATACATTCGGGAACAAGAATTGACAACGTCACTAAAATTCATAACATTTAGAAAGGACAAAAGTTCTGGGCGAAAGGATAAGTTGTCTTTTCTTTTTTTGTTAACTAGTAGCTAATTTTTGCTACTCATCCAAAGTGAGCTAGCTAGCTAGCATAAGGCCGCTATTCCATTCCAAGCACAGAGAGGAGTTATTCTATTTGATAGAGCAACGTTGTTAGTTTCCATACAAGCCTTTCATTCGAATAGTAATACAGTATATCATTTTCTTGACCCTTCAACAGATGCACAGCCTTTGGCAGGAAAAAAAACTCAGTTGGGAGAGTATAAGTCTGCCATTCAATGGTGTTCTGTTTCAAGACGTGTACAGTATGAATGCCAACAGGGGAAAGACAGACAAACAAAAGCCAAAGAGAAATATGCTAATGAAATGAAAAGGGCAGTATGTTCAAAGACAGATCACTGTAATGTATACCATACACTTTTACAACATTCATCTCATTTTGATAATGTTGAAGTACTAACTAACAATGGAATGTTCCTCAATAAAATTGAAGATGGGACTTTAAATTGGTGTCCCAACTCTGTGGTCACTAAAGATCCCAGGGGGTGAAGGGGGTGCTTATAAGGGTTGCCAGGTTTAGCAAACATTTCTAGCCCAATGACCACTCAAAACCTGCCCAAAAGGCCTTAAAACTAGCAGTGCAGCAAGAGTTGCCACATTTATCCAATAAACTCTTGTCCCATAATGTTATCGAACCAATTAAGAAGAAATATCGACATAATGGCGTTAGAAGCAAACTGTGGTTTTCATCAAAATAATAATTATTGCGAGCTATGATGTGACTTAATAAAGGAATTTGAATATGTAGCAAGAATGCTTGGATTTAGCAGTGGTATGTATAAGAGCGTCTGCTAAATGACTAAAATGTAAATGTATATTGGCCATATACCACATACCCCCGAGGTGCCTTATTGCTATTATAAAACTGGTTACTAACATAACAGTAAACTTTTTGTCATACTCGTGGTATACAGGCTGAGATACCACGGCTTTCAGCCAATCAGCATTCATGGCTCGACCACAGTTTATAATTGTAAATAAATCCCTTTTGCGCATGTGCATAACTATAGATAAATCCGACAGGAGAGTTTGAGTGATGAAAGTTGGACAGAGGATCTTGACATTTCTGCGCAAGAAACACTTCAAAACACTGTTAGGCTATTTTCGGGCATGATGTTAAGACTGCAAACCGTTATAAATGGCCCATTTGCGAGATTGATTTGTCATTTCTATAGAGTACCACAGTATGAATCATAATACCCATAAAACCTAGCGGTCAAACAGGGAAATCGTTCCAATCGTTTATCCATCATTCATTTTCCCATAGGGGATTTTAGAAACACTTAAAATAAGGGCTGTGTATCGTGTAGGCTTACCCTGGTGTGACGTTTTTATAACCGTGTAAATCTCTCTTGGACAATGTGACTTTTATCAATATATTTGCCTGTATTTACCCCCAACAAATGAAATGCTAGTTAGCTCCTAATGAACTACAAATGCCATGATGATCTGGACGAGACTGCCGAATCGAGGCAAAGGTAAGAATCTCTGGATTAACTATCTAATGTTATCGAAATGTAGTAATGAATAAATTGGCAAACGTGTTTAAATTAACCTGTTAGCAAAGGTGCCAGTTAGAGAAAACGTGCCGGAGGTTGCAGGGATTTGTGGTCTTGCATGATGTCTACTTTGATGCTAATTAGAATTTTCGAATCAGAGTAAATAGAGACTAATATATTGATGAAAGCCACCTTTACCGAGAGAGATTTACATGGTTATCAAAACGTCACGCCAGGGTAAGCCTACACGAAACACAGCCCTTATTTTAAGTGTTTCTAAAATCACCTTTGGGGGAAAAGAAATTCCATGGCGGCCATGGTGCAACTTAGAAGTAGCCCAAAAACCTGCAACCCGCAACCAATACATTTTCACCCACGACATTGTTTTCAAAGTAGCCCAATTTTCTGGAAAACCGGAGACATGGCAACCCTGGTGCTAATATTTGTCCTGTTTTCACTGCATGTGTATATCAAACTATATTTCTATCATGTAATACTGTGTATAAAAGTACAATGTACAGTCCATTCGGAAAGTATTCAGACCCCTTGACTCTTTCCACATTTTGTTACGTTACAGCCTTATTCTAAAATGTATTAAATAAATAAAATTGTCTCATCAATCTGCAGTCGTGGTCAAAAGTTTTGAGAATGACACAAATATTAATTTTCTGCTGAGTCTGCTGCCTCAGTTTTTATGATGGCAATTTGCATATACTCCAAAATGTTATGAAGAGTGATCAGATGAATTGCAATTAATTGCAAAGTCCCTCTTTGCCATGAAAATGAACTTAATCCCCCCAAAAAATTCCACTGCATTTCAGCCCTGCCACAAAAGGACCAGCTGACATCATGTCAGTGATTCTCTCGTTAACACAGGTGAGAGTGTTGACGAGGACAAGGCTGGAGATCTCTCTGTCATGCTGATTCAGTTAGAATAACAGACTGGAAGCTTTAAAAGAAGGGTGGTGCTTGAAATCATTGTTCTTCCTCTGTTAACCATGGTTACCTGCAAAGAAACACGTGCCGTCATCATTGGTTTGCACAAAAAGGGCTTCACAGGCAAGGATATTGCTGCTAGTAAGATTGCACCTAAATCAACCATTTATCGGATCATCAATAACTTCAAGGAGAGAGGTTCAATTGTTGTGAAGAAGGCTTCAGGGTGCCCAAGAAAGTCCAGCAAGCGCCAGGACCATCTCCTAAAGTTGATTCAGCTGCGGGATCGGGGCACCAACAGTGCAGAACTTGCTCAGGAATGGCAGCAGGCAGGTGTGAGTGCATCTGCACGCACAGTGAGGCGAAGACTTTTGGAGGATGGCCTGGTGTCAAGAAGGGCAGCGAGGAAGCCACTTCTCTCCAGGAAAAACATCAGGGACAGACTGATATTCTGCAAAATGTACAGGGATTGGACCGCTGAGGACTGGGGTAAAGTCATTTTCTCTGATGAATCCCCTTTCCGATTGTTTGGGGCATCCGGAAAAAAGCTTGTCCGGAGAAGACAAGGTGAGCGCTACCATCAGTCCTGTGTCATGCCAACAGTAAAGCATCCTGAGACCATTCATGTGTGGGGTTGCTTCTCAGCCAAGGGAGTGGGCTCACTCACAATTTTGCCTAAGAACACAGCCATGAATAAAGAATGGTACCAACACATCCTCCGAGAGCAACTTCTCCCAACCATCCAAGAACAGTTTGGTGACGAACAATGCCTTTTCCAGCATGATGGAGCACCTTGCCATAAGGCAAAAGTGATAACTAAGTGGCCCGGGGAACGAAACATTGACATTTTGGGTCTATGGCCAGGAAACTCCCCAGACCTTAATCCCATTGAGAACTTGTGGTCAATCCCACGACAAACAAAAACCCACAAATTCTGACAAACTCCAAGCATTGAAGAATCAGTCAGGATGTGGCCCAGAAGTTTAATTGGCAGCATGCCAGGGCGGATTGCAGAGTTCTTAAAAGAAGGGTCAACACTGCAAATATTGACTCTTTGCATAAACTTAATGTAACTGTCAATAAAAGCCTTTGACACTTATGGAATGCTTGTAATTATACTTCAGTATACCATAGTAACATCTGAAAAAAATATCTAAAAACACTGAAGCAGCAAACTTTGTGAAGACCAATACTTGTGTCATTCTCAAATCTTTTGACCACTACTGTACAGACAATACCCCATAATGACAAAGTGAAAACAGGTTTTTAGACATTTTTGCAAATGTATTAAAAACAGAAATACCTTTATTTACATAAGTATTCAGACCCTTTGCTATGAGACTCGAAATTGAGCTCAGGAGCATCCTGTTTCCATTGATCATCCTTGAGCTGTTTCTACAACTTGATTGGAGTCCACCTGTGGTAAATTCAATTGATTGGACA